ATTGAAAATTGTGATTAATTTTAACAAGGAGTGTTATATTGTGAAAGAAGTTTAGATCTACTGCATATTATGTCGAAGTTTGCTCTTACTATATTTGGCCAGGGACATCTCAGGGGGAAGCATTTGCTTTCCGTACGTTTCAATGTGTAGGGAAATGCACATTTATTTTGATTGGTTACTTTTTTTTGTTTGTTTTTATGTTATTTCAAATATGACAGAAATGCTAATCAGTTTTGGACTACTAAAGAATGTACCCATATAAAAGTTCACTTTAGTCCCTTTATGAAATTCAATGAAACATTTCTTATGAAGGCCTGCTCAGTGGCACAGTGGGTGCCGCTGCCTAGCAGCAAGAAGGTTATTGGTTTAATTCCTGGCCTGGATTTTTTTGTTCTTGTTTTATATATATATTGTTTGGTTTTGCATGATTTTTTTTACTTTACTCTGGTTATCCACTCAGGGTTATTGCTTATTTCTGACTTTGTTTTGAATTAAACTTGCACATACCAATTGTTTTTTATTAGGTGTGGAGCAATTTGAGATCTGTTTTTTGCTTTCTCTGCTTTTGTTACAGGTGTATGTTTGAAATAAATAAATTACTTGCTGTTTCACTGCAAGCCATGGTGTTTTTTTCCTCTTAACCTCCCTCTACAATATGTGGTCCAGAAGCTTAATGTTGTTAAAGCTTAATGGACAGCGATGTTGAGAAAAAAATAAGAGAAAATAAATTGGTCAATTTAAGTATATGCTTACAGCGCAGCCATTAAGGAGGCAAAAAAATACAAATTTTAAATTTTATTGTGATACAACTTTCTCTAGAATTTATTATTGTTTACAATTGAGGCCAGGATGCCGTGGTTTTGCAGCTGGGATGGAGGAGGTGTCACTTGTTACACATCTTGTTTTGGTCTACACTTTGCTCTACAAATCATTAATTTTGTAGTTGTAAAATGAGAAAATACAGAACAGCTTGTTTTCCATATGCAGGGCTTGCCATGTCTTTAAGACTTGCTTAGAAACTTGGCAAAGTTTATCATCTATATTCCCTTCCTGACAAAATCAGGAATTAAACCACAGTGTGATGCATTACAGTCAAAGCCTTTCACCTTGGGGACGCCTTAATATAAAATGGCTGTAGGGGGCTGTATTAAAGGGTATAAAAAAATCTTTTCAAGGTACTGTAAAAGCCAAAGACATTCAGGACTTATTGCCTCTACTTAAGGTCGGAGTTCATGCCTCCACTATAAGAAAGAGGCTGGGAAAAAATGGATGACTGGGCAGAGTTCCAAAATAAAACTCGGTGCTGAGTAAAGGAACCATAAGGTGTTTCCTAATTCAAAATACTTGTTAATTTATTGAAAGTGTCCCTTTTGTATAATTACTTTATAAAATAACTGACAGCTAAAGCTTCTAAATGGGTTTTGTGAGAACATGCTGGGATTGATCAATTTGGAAAGGCTTAAAATGTGTTTAATTATCAACAGTAAGCTCGCAATATAGGTATGGCAGGCCATTTGACATTTATTAGTTTGACATTTTGAATTTCAGATATAACAAATCTATTCCCTGCTAGTCCAAATGAACATTTCAACGATCTAAAATAACATTCTTAATATCTAAAATGAAAATTTTAGATTTCTTAAATGTAATTCTTGCTTGTATAAATGACATCACTTTCCCCATTCATGTGTTTGGGCTTTTACTGCCTGATATCTAAATTGACTATTCCTATCTACAACCCTGTTTACAATTCTTGATGTCTTCTAATTTCGGATCTCCATTATCCAGTCATAATGGCCATTTCAGATATCAAAAATAAAATATTCTAAATATCCAGATATTCAATTCTGTATCAAAAATATATTTCTGCTTGTAGAAATGCCATTACTTACGTCTACCACCAACAATATGACAAGTTAAACTGGTATTTTAGATATTTGAAATTAAATTATGCTTATATAGAACGCAACTACAGATAAAATATACTTTAACATTTGTTTTACCATAAAATAGGCTAGCTGATGTCAGATTTCCATTACAGTGCTAAAGCATTTTACCTACTTACAATTACAATCATAGTCAGAAATGTAGCAGCATTACATTACATTTCTGCCAGTAGAAATTATATTTAAAAAAATGTTTCAACCAAATCAAAATCTTTTCATTGTCTTCCAGGAAAATTTTTTTTTCAGATATCTGGAATTGAGATTTTTAGGTATCTCCAACATAATTCCTAGGCTACAATTAAACTTCTTGACAATCTTAAATTCTTTTTTTGTATCCATGTATCATAAAATCAGCTGAAATTATCTGGCAGCCGGTCGTCTCTTGTCCCACTCCTCCACATAGATCTTCTCTAGATCAGTCAGGTTTCTGGGCTGGCGCTGAGAAATGTGGAGTTTGAGCTCCCTCCAAAGATTCTCTATTGGGTTTAGGTCTGGAGACTGACCATGCCAAGCTGTCAGGTATCAAGTTTTTGTGGGTTGTTTTTTGTGTTTCCTTTCCTCCTCCACCAGGTGGTGCCCCATTCTCATTGGGCCTCCCTGCACACGCAGCTCGTTGGACCTTTATCTGGAGGAGTACTTAAGCCATGGACTGCCACTACCTTGAGGCCAGAGTGTTTCCCAGTTTTGGGAAGTCATCCTGCAAACTGGATGTTTTGGACCTTCTCCCCCTGGAAGGATCGTCTGAGCTTCAAACTGAGCTGGGGATTCAAACTGGTGGTTTGGATCAACTTCTCCCCAAGGGATTTTTTGAGCTTCACACTGAGCAGGGGATTAATCTCCCCAAGAAACCGTTCAAGTACCATAGGAAATCTAAGTGGCAGTCAGCTCCTCCATTCCTCAAGTAACACCGCAACCTGGGTAAACCCTGTCCGCCCTCCTACGAGCAAGTCAATTACTGGAACAACCCACACCGACTGGATTCAAAGAAAAGACACCTTTCCTGGAAACTCGCGGTTCGCCAGTGTTCACAGCAGCACTGGACCCATGCTACCAGTTCTCGATAAACTTGTTAAACCTTCCCCTGGTCGCTCTGTTTGGTTTTCTGCACGTGGGTCAGATCTTAGAATAAAATAATGACACAAGCCAGAACCCTCAAATGCTTCTTCCAGAGCCACTCCTTGGTTATCCTAGCTGTGTGCTTAAGGTCATTGTCATGTTACATTGATGTTCTCGTATATTTCAATGTGTATTTTTGTTTCCTCCTTACTTAAGGTATGTCTTGTATGTGGCTAATATGTTTTTATTTTATTTTAATAATTTATTGCATGCGTATAAAAGTAAATAAGCTTCAGTGCTTGTACTCAAGAAAACATTTCTTCTCTAATTACCAAAGTATTCATATTTTACTGTATGTACGTGAAAACAAAATAATTTTTACTTGCAGATTAAAAATCAGCTTCTAGCAGTGAAGTTAAACTTTCTCTTTCTCTGTTAGAAGAACTTTACTGTACATTCCACATTCTGCAAATTTTGCACTCTTGAACTTGTGTAAACAAACCTTTCAGTACACTTCTTTGATGAGGGGGCAGCAAGGTGAGTATTGGACTGGGCCAAAGGAGTTGGCTAAAGTTCAGGAAGTTGTGGAATTGTATAGCCCATGGTTACACTGTGGGCTATATGTTATAGAAGCTTCTATCCCTATACGTGTTACACTACTGCCAGCTGCTGGTATCAAGCACTATGACTTCTGGAGATGGCGCGCTGAATCCAACCGTTGCTGTGAATGGGAACGCATCCAACTGGGTTAAACTTGTAAAGTGAAAGTAAAGTGCTGAAAGGCTATGACATGTCGTATTGGCATTTATTAGAAGTGCTGTCCTCTCTTATGTTCCATTTGTTGATCCTTAAAAAAAGATTCTTCTAAAATAAGATTCTTCTGGTCAAAACCACATTCCTACTTGTCTAATTGTAAATATAGGTATCTTAAATTACATATTTGCCTGCAAAAAGTAAAATAAAAAAATAATGTACTTGTAAAAATAAACTTTCAGATACCTAGAATTCTTTACAAATTTTAAGTTACCGTTTTCACATTTATTAGCTTGACTGAATATATATTTCATGTGTCTCAAATGCAATTTTTTCCTAGTCAAAATTAACATTTCAGACATAAAAAAAAAAAAAACATTCTTCCTATCTAAATAAAGAATTCAGATATCTTAAATGCAATTCTTACTACTACAAATTAAATCATGTTTCCTATTCATATGCTTTGGGTGTTTACTTCCAGATATCTAAAATAACATTAATCCTATCTAAAACAGAATTCTGACTGTCATCTTCAATTTTAGATCTTTACAATACAGTTATTACTAGTCAAAAGGACAATTTAAGACATCAAAATCCAATATAATATTCTACATATCCAAAAATCCAATTATTGACATTAAAGATATATTTTTGATAGTAGAAATTTCCTTACAGATATCAACTATTGAAATATGACTAGTTAAATTGGAATTTCAGATATCTAAATTTTAATAATGCCTATACAAAATCCAATTTAACATACAGGCATTTTTTGACTAACTTCCAAAAGAATAATGGGGTTAAGTTTTAACATAAAAGTTGGCAGGCTGGCTAATCATATTTCTATTATAGATAGCATGCAGCGTTTTGTATAGTCATTAAAATTCGGATATCTAGAATTCTAATTTAACTAAACAAAATAATTAGTTGATATCTGTAATGACATTTCTACTTCTAAAAATATATTTTTAATGTAAAGAACAACAATTCCTATAAATCTAGATTCTAAATAATTTTTGATATCTGAAATTATCATTATGACTAGTATTAATTATATTATGGAGATCTGATATTAGAGTAAATCCTTGTCAGAATTCAGTTTTAGTTTATGTAAAGATTGACTAGTTTCTGATAAATATGGTATATGCGCTATTTTTGTTGTTTTATTTCTAAACGTATTTAAGCTTTGGAACCGCGCGTTATTGTACGTACGATTATTGGCCCATTCGGCTTGCCAAAGACTCCGCCTCTTCTACATTTATGGTTTGAAACACGCTACGATGCCACATGGACCAACATTATATTTAGTTTTCTTAATGTTCGGCTGCTGGGGATCACATCTAAAAGGTGAGAACAATCACTACTTATGCTTTTTTATGCAGGGACTTGGATGTATTATTCCTGCTGCTTTTTCTCTAATATTTGATATTCAGTGCAATTTAAGCTCCACATGCTGTCTTGGTTAGTTTCTGTCTGTTGAGTACTGTAACATAAGGAGGACGACTAAATACCAAATAGTTATAAAGTGCATCTGCGCCCTGGAAATTGTTTTAATTCATTCTTTATCTACTTTTGTAGGAATTGCTTTCAAACGTTGAATCTTAAGATTTTTGAATTGTTCACGTGTAGTGATGTTATGAGATGAGCCGAGGCTTCGAGGCGTGTGTCGAGTAATGGAGGGGGCGTTTCCCCGAAGCGCGTGTCGAGGTGTGATTCATTTAGAGCAGGGGCCAAAATTGATGACGTCCGAGGCCTAGCTACCGTGATGCCACGTGACCGGTTCGGTAACTGGTTCGGGATGCGCAAGAATTTTGACAGGCATCTAAACAGCTTCAGTGTTCAGTCAAGATGTGGGAGATTGGAGGAGAGTTGCTGTCAGCTGGATAAAGTTTGGATAGATTCTAAGAATAAATTGGTTGTTTTTCCAACCAATAGTTGCTTAAAGCTAATTTGGTTGGAATAAACAATGTAATGATCAAAATCTGAGCAAACCACCAGACAAAGCCAGTGTTAATACATCAGTGTTATGAAGTATTTTCTCCCAGATCAGACCATCTACATGAGTGGCGTCCTCTATAAGGGACAGACCCTCAGTCTTGAGGTTGGTGGTTCGAGACCTGTCTCTCTCTTTTGAAAGTTGCGATTAAACTTAATTATTTTGGCTGTTGAGACTTTCCATTGTTTTGCCCAAGTAAAAATATAGATTGGGAAAATTAGGTTGGTTTAATAAAAAGATTGGTTGAACACAACTTCCAGCCTGATTAAAACCAAAAAACATGGAAAAACTATCATGTTTGAATAAAAACGACTAACACCTTTCATTTTGTTCATCATTGCCCAATTCTAAAAAACGTATAAAAATTTTATTATACACACCAACCATTAACAATTTCAAGGGAACTTATAAGGGAAAAAAAAGAAAAACAATTGCAAAAAAAATCACAGATTTTATTACAAACTGTAGTTCTGCTGTCCACCAGTAAGTGGTGACATGTTCACATGAAGATTCATGAACTGTGGGGATTGTTGAAGCAATTTGGCCAAACGGTTCAATGCCTCATGAGGCTTCATCTCACCATCACTATTCACGTGACTTCATCAGACGTCCCAAGTCCATCTCAAGATCCGGGAGTCTCCCTGATATGATAGTTGTACACAGATGCCCGCGAGTCCGATAAATTATCTCGGATTTTAGACATTGCGAGGTGGTGTTTTTTTTTTTATGCGAGTGACAGCGAGCAGGCAATGCAATAAAATAATCTCAAATTACGACACCGGATTTGTCATTTAAAGCGTTACACGCTGATTTAACTTTTCTCCTATCCTAAAATACATTTAAGATATCATGAATTATGGTGGCATTTGAGATATCTTTAATTAGAATTATGACTAGTCAAAATTAAAATCGAGATATCTTGAATTTACTTTATGACTAGTCGTAATTTAATTGTAGATATATCTGAAATTTGTATTTCAGATAGTCAGTAATACATTCTAGATATCTTAAATTGATGTCTCCATACAAGTTAATGGTAAATCTGACGTCATTTCGACTAGTCAGAATGTAATTAGAGATATCCGGAATAGGAATTTTGACTACCGTATTTTCACGACCATAAGGCGCACCGGACTAAAAGGCGCACTCTCAGTTATGTGTCCCATTTCTGTATTTAACACACACATAAGGCGCACCGGACTATAGGGCGCGTTTTTTATATACAGGTACATGTCCTCTACTACCTTTAAATACCTCTACTGCGTATTTAAAAATACAGCGGGGGCAAAACTGAGTATGACTGTGCTTTATTCATGTATTTATTACAAAGTATTAATCAAACCTGGCAGCTGAGAGAGACACATCGCAGATGACACAGCGCTGTGATCACTCCTAAATTAACTTAAAATCCTGAAACCTGCTGACGGAATATGTTCGCTTTTATTGCCGGTATCCTGGTGCCTGCAGCTAAAATTATTTAGATGAAAAACACCTGCCAGCAGCCGCGGTGAACCCCAGGCTGCCCAGCCTACAGGCTGCTGATGAAGAGATTTCTGCTGTCAGCGCACCGCTGGTATGTGGGGGTCTGAGCGCCTCCGACAGAAATAGATAATCTGGATGAACTGACTGCAATTATTAAGTTTTCAGGTGGACTTTCTCACTTAAAAACATATTAAACCTACTTTATTCCCACTGATCACAGCAAATATAGCTGCAAGATTTAGATTATTTAGATGAAAAACACCTGCCAGCAGCCGCGGTGAACGAAAGGATTTCTCCTGTCGGCGCACCGCTGGTATGTGGGGGTCTGAGCGCCTCCGACAGAAATAGATAATCTGGATGAACTGACTGCAATTATGAAGTTTTCAGGTGGACTTTCTCACTTAAAAACATATTAAAACTACTTTATTCCCACTGATCACAGCAAATATAGCTGCAAGATTTAGATTATTTAGATGAAAAAACACCTGCCAGTCACCGCGGTGAAACCAGAGGAGACCAGCTGCTGTTGAATTAAGTTTTCAGGTAGAAAAATAGAGCGGGAGCAAAACTGAGTATGTTTGTGCTTTATTCATGTATTTATTACAAAGTATTAATCAAACCCATTAAAGTCATCATCCTCTGTTATCCTCAGCATTCCTCTGCATAAAACAGCTGCGCTAAATCAGACATGCCAGTTTCCCCTTCTTCGCTGTCAGAGTCACTTTCCGGGCAGCGCAGCTCCTCAGAAATAATGCCGGCTTTTGCGAAAGCTTGAACAACAGAGCCAGCAGACACTTTAGTCCAAGCATCTACAATCCATCCGCAAACGGTGGCGTAACTTGCACGGCGCTGCCTTCCATTTATCATGAAACTGTGGTCTCAGTCTGTCATCCATCGCTCCCACGCCGCTCGCAGCCTTACTTTGAACGGCCACTTCAAACCGATGTCGAGCGGTTGAAGCTCCTTTGTCAGACCCCCGGGATAACGGCGAGCACAGCGTTCATTTGATTCATCTTTTTTTCACATCGGCTGTGAGATGGGCACGCAGCGATGGTGATGCGTGGAAAAAAGCACCTAGTCTTCTCAGATACACCTGCCTTTCATCATCTCCTCATCGATCCAGCCTTTTCATTTGCGTTAATATCATATGTCATCAGAGCGCTGTACTGTCTCGCTGTCAGCTCCCAGATCAGCTTCTCTGATTGGTTGATGCGGCGCGTCCAGCAGCAAAACTTAAATTTTTCCATGTCGAGCAGCAGCAGCACGTTGGCGGTGCGTCAGATAAACGCTCCCGACGTGCTGCACCAAAATGCGCTGCGGGACCTTTTGCTGCACCTATACGCGCGTCAACCATTCACTTTGCATGTAAACTCGCTGCTTCTGCTGCACCTGCTGGGTCCGGTTCACACCGATGTCGAGCGGTTGAACAGCGAGCACAGCGTTAATTTGTTTCCCCATGTTTTTCACATCAGCTGTGAGATGGGCACGCATGGAGTTACATATTAACAGCGATGGTGAGGGGTGGAAAAAAACACCTGGTCTCCTTACATTCAGCCACTCTTTCATCATCTCCTCAATGAGGTGGTCTCAAAAGTCGCAGTTACAACACACATAGGGCGCACCGCACCATAGGGCACACCGCACATTTTGAGGGAAAAAAAAGACGTTTAAGTGCGCCTTATAGTCGTGAAAATACGGTAGTCAAAATATATTTAGAGATATCTTAAATCGCAAAAACGTCTAGTCATAAAACAATTTGAGATATCTTAAATGTAAAGGTGGAGCAGCCGAATTTATGTTAAAATAGCTTGCCATAAGATATGCAGTTTTGACTAGTGAAAACTCAATTCTAGATATCTTAAAAGCAACTAATGACTAGACAAAACAAATTTAAAGATATCTTAAATTGTAATTTGGACTATTCAAAATTCCTTTTTAAGATATCTCTAAATGAATGAAAGATATCTTGAATTATTCAGCGTTTCCATTAAAGATAACTTAAATTAACATTCTGACTAGTCAAAATGTGTAATGATCTTTTTAAGTGGCTTCCAGGAGGATCATTCCTAAAAAAAATTCCTTACTGTCAGTTTAATCAACAGGAGGAAAAGTTAAATCAGCTCCATTTACTGTGATTTTCAGTTGGCTTTTGTCGAGAGATATTTTTAAAAGTATTAGAATCTGTTCGTCATTTTAGATTTCCGATTATCATAACAATATTATGATTATTATAATTATTATGTCATCATTTCTGGTAAAAAAAAAAAAAAGGAGGATCCTGCATTAACTTGGTTTCAGAGTTATTTTTTACAATTTTTTGTTGGAATTCAATTTTCTTTACACAAAAAAGTAATTCTTCTTTTGTAAAACACACCTTTGATTAGATGAAGATCCCGTAAACCGGACTAAAATGACTGAGCATGTGTGTTGTTGTTCTGTTTTCTGTTTCAGTTTTGCTCCCCAATAGCTTAATACCTTGAAGATTAAGCTGCGGTCATATTTTGTTTTAGCAGCTGGACTGAACATAGTTCCATTGTTACCTATTTCTACACCTACTTAAAGTCAGAATAATAAAGAAAACCTGATGGAAAGTGAGGCGTTTGATCAAGTAGAAACATGTATTGTAGAGGTCTCCTTTCAGATTTTTTGGGGGGAAAAGTCAAATAAGGAAGCTGGTTCTTGTTCTAACATGACAAAATATGTGGAAGTGAAAATAGTGTGAATACAAAAGTAAAACAAAAACATAATGGTCATATTTGGCTGTGTTTGCACTCTGATAAAATAATGTTAAATTGATGTTTAGGAAAGTGGTGTTTAACTCAGAGTTACTGTAGTGGATTGCACAAGGGTTCCACATTAGAAACACATTTAGATTAGGATTGTTGTAATATTAAATGGTCAGAGCAGCAGTTTCCAATCCTGATCATGGAGGTAATAGGAAGGACATGTCCCCTGCTTTTTTCAAATGTTCGTTTTGGTCCCCTGCAATTTTTACCATCCAAAAGCAATATTACAATACAGTAGGCATTGGTCAAGTACTAGGACCAAGCGGAAAACCACTGCAGGGGGATGTTGTACTTGCTGACTGTTTGGTTTTTTATTTCTTTCTTTTTTTCTGGCTTAATGAGAGCAGTGGGCTTTAGGCTGCCCTGCAAGGCTTTAAACCATCCATATTTATTTTAGAATATGTTCATATAGGAGAATCCTGCTTCACAGCAGCTGCTTGAGCCAAACATACTCAAAATGTGCAGGGTCATCTTAGAGCACACCATTTCACTTTTCTTTCACCAGTGGACCACAGTTCTCATAACAGTCCACACTTTCTTTTACTTTTTGTCATCGTCTTCTCCTTTCCCATCGCCCGGCTTGCCACAGGTTTGCCTGCTGTGTCTAAAAGTAGTAGCAGCAGCCCTGACTAACACAGCTCAATGACTAATTTGTGTCATGTGTAGGGCTTTAACGTACAAGGGTTAGGGTTAGGCCGTCAATGTGCAGGTGGTCTGGAGCAGAGCGGAACAGAGCAGGGCGATTTTGGAGGATGTAGGATTACAGGATAATGCCTCTACTGCTCCTGTGTTAAATGGCAGATAGTGGCTTTGCTTTATTTGCTGTGATAAGTCGGTAAAAAGCAGTTTAAATAAATTTTTATGCAAGAAAGTTCACCTCAGAACATTGTCTGTGCAGTCACTTCTTGTAGATTCGATCCTACCTTCAAACACTATTTCGCTTTCTGAGGCGCGCAGACCTCCACATGGCGACAGTACGCCGTCACTGGGAATCACCAGCAACAGGGGACCTCATGGGAGTTTCCGCTACTGTTTATGGAGGCTGGAAGTAGATTTTAGCGTCTTTCAGGTACATGTATATGGTGCAAACTGCAAGTGGCAGGTTTTGACCTTTTAAGTTAAGGTGTCATAAACCTCTGATTAAGAAGTAGGTACATGAAATAAACAAAGTGAGAACACACTTGAGTCTGGGTGGGGGGCTTATTTGAGTACTGCTGTTTTTATGTTATCTTATTTGTAACCAGTTTGACTAGGAAATGGCCTTTTAATAACATCTGAGTGGTTTAACTTGTTGGTAAGCCCTTCCCATTATCCGTTTGGTTGTTAACAAGCAGGTTAAGTAAGTTTATGCAGCAACTCTAACTGGTGCAATATGTATTCTATGAGTATTTATTAGGTAAACTAATACCATCTTATTTCTTTTGTGATTTAGACCACATCACCCTCTACAAATTCCCTATCTTCTACTACTCAAAAAGCTCAATACCTATTAAAAGGAATTCTCATCTTCAGTTTCTACCCTGATCAACACCCAGTGGCAAGTGTAATGCACCCATCAGCCCTGCAATATTCTGTTGAAGCTTATCTGCACACTTGCTGCACCTGAAAATCCTCAGGATCCTGTTAATGTTGTATGTAACTTTATTGCAGTTTAATTCGTATTCATAATTTGTTATAATTCTTAATTTGTTGGCAACATTCAATGAAATCTAAACATGGATTTTGTATAAAGTTGATGGACACTCCACATTTTAAAGCCTTATTAGGAGGAGAGGAGATAATTACCTTTTTAATAAAGAAAAGAAAATGGCAGTGAATCACATGGTATTTTATAAGTGTAAACAATGCCAAACTTGGCTATTTCTCAACCTTTATGGAACACAGAGAGGAAATGAAAGCACTTTAATAACATGGAACACTATAAATAAAATTACGCTGATCTATTTTCTTTGCTTTCTGCAGGTGTTGCAGCTGTGGTCCAAACTCAGCTGACTGTAACAGCAGCAGAGGGGGAAGATGCTCCTCTCAGCTGTCAGCTCCTGGAAACTAAAGATGTCCAGCAGGTCACCTGGCAGAAGGTCTTTGGGAGCAAAGAGAGGAATATCTGCTCCTACAGCGAGTATTTTGGTCAAACAGTGAATCCTGACTTTAAAGATAAAGTCCAGTTTACAGAAGCTGGACTGAAGAATTCCTCCATAGTTATCAGGAAGGTTACAGAGCAGGATGAAGGATGTTATCTCTGTTTGTTCAACATCTACCCTGATGGAGCTCTGATAGGGAGAACCTGCCTGAATGTTTATGGTAAGAACCAGACTGTACTCCAGGATTAACTTCTATAACTAGATGTTGATCATGATGTTTGTTCTCCTCTCAGAGCTGCATGAACCCATCCTTGATGTGAGGAGATTAAATGTTTCTGCAGAGTCAGTTGTGTCCTGTTCAGCCACAGGTCGACCTGCTCCCACTGTAACACTGACTGTTCTACAGCAGAACCTCAGCTTCTCCCACTACAACAGCAGCAGTGTGACCCACAGCAACGGTACAGTCACCGTCACCACCACAGCTCTGCTGTCAGCTTCCAGCAGCACACAGGTTGGATGTTCAGTGTCAGTGCTCTCTGCTGCTCCCAGAGAGAAGCTGATCACCGTTCCTGGAGTTAAAGGAACATCTGATGATGGTGAGGAACTCTTAGAGATACAGAGATTTGTAGAGAGTTTTTATACGATCCCATCTTTTCCACATTTTGTGAAGGTACAGCCACAGACTTTAATGCATTTCATTGAGTTTTAGACAATCAGATAATATTCAGAATGGAAGACCAGATTTAAACTAATTAAAATTTATGTTTTTGGCTTTTATTGCTAGAAAATTGTTGAGTTGGTTGAACTATACTTTTAGGCTCTGTATATGAACTGAAAACCTGTTTGTGATTCTCTCTTTATTATTTATCAGGTTTGGATCAATCTGAATCATCTCTCAGAGATTCCAGTGAGTTCATGTTCAGATTCTGATGTTGTTCCTTTTTTCCTTTGTTCTGTTGCTGAGAAATATTTCACCTTTTTTCTCCAGGATGGCTTTTAATTCTTCCAATTATTCTCTTCATTGGTGTTTGCCTGCTTATAGGTTTTCAGCAAAGGTACGTCTGTGAAACGTAAAATCACATTAACATTTGTTTGCTGATTGTTTTATATAATTGTTTTTCTATTATTCACAGGAATAAAAAACCATGATAAGATGCTACTTTCAGTATAAGTAAGTATTTAATTTTTATTCCTCCCTTATACAGATAGATATATTGCCTTTTTTTTTTTTTTTTACAATCGCTGCTGCTTTGGTATATACTGTATATTTCCTGAACAATATAAATCATATTTATTTGCTCCTTTTAAAGTCCATTAGTTCATTCTTTTTTTCATTTTCCTTTAAGGCATGAAAGCTCAGCAGTGTTGGAAAGAAGCTCAGGATTTGAACATCTGACAAACATCTGACAAATCAGCAAGTTAGAGTCATAACCATGAAAACAGAAAAAACTTCAGTGTAACCGTTGTTTGCCAATTGTCAACATCTGGTCAAACTGATGTGGCAGCTAATCCTAAATTACACTGGATCAAAGGTGGAGGCAGAACCATTTTTTTCGACATCCTATTAGACAATCTTCATTCGCCTGATGAGTATTTGCAAGTACGTGCCTGATTGTTTAAATGTTTTTTTAATTTTAAGAAAACTGGTGCTTTTTTGATGGTTTAACACATTTTAATTTCACTCTGATTTTTCTAAATTTTTTAATTAAAAAAAGTTTTACAGCCATCATCTTTGAAAAAAAAAAACATAATATCACGGTATTGATAAGAACAAATGTATCCGTTATCATTAAAGGTCAGCAATGTTTTCATTCAGTAAATAGGCTTGTTGAAGCTATTAAAAAAATCTCAGTATTCCAAAAACATATAGATCAGGGGTCAAAGTCAAAGTGAACTCAAAGTGTTCAAGGAGCCATATTGGACCAAAAGAACAAATCTGTCTGAAGCTGCAAAAAGTTTTATATAAGCCTTGTATGGCAACACGAGCTCTAAGTGCATTAGCCCACAAAAAAAAAGGATTACGTGGGCTTAAATATACAATAAATATTCATGATTAACTGTCACATAATGTGGCTACTCTGCTCTATGATATTCGGTGCTTTAAGTTTAAATTCTATTACAATATTAATGTATTAGGTTTGGTCACATCGATGGAATTATAGAAACACTATAAAGAAATCCGATTTTTGGTGGCATTTTAATTTTAATGATTGGGGAAAAAAAATTGATATCTTTTTACCTCTCATAAAGGTACTGTCAGTAATAAATGGAGACAATGCACTATAAAAAATTAAGTATGCCTTATAATCATAGGCGGATCTACTGGGGTGGCATAGGGTGGCAAATGCCACCCTAAATTACAGCCTTGCCACCCCTGCTGCCACCCCAGTTGGCGGTAGGGGTGGCGAGGTTTATAAATTATGGATAATTTGAGAATTACGACCGCTAATTTCTAATGTCGGACTGCAGTGAATGCAGCACGAGATGACGCGAGAGCGACTGAGACTGATTATTTTGAAAACCGAGCGGGGCAAAGCGAGGGAGCCAGGAGTGATGGGGAGAGGAGACACAGGATGAAACAGGTAGAAACTGATTAACTATCTATTGAGAAATGAAATCATAATGAAAGCACAATGTTGCTAGCATAGCTGCAATGCTGATTTTGAGATGATAAAAATCAGGTTGCAGAACGTCATTTCTCTATCTATGATGTTAGTTAGGCCTGACGTCTCAGCCTCATAAAGACATATTTGCAGTCAACTATGACAGAAAAGAGACGATCAAGTTTGGTTGTACTCAAATCAAAACGCACAAAGGCATTGGATCTAAATAAAGTTGTGAAGCGTTTTGCTGAGCAACATGGAAATCGCTGCTTTCAGCTGTTATAGTCATGTTAACTTTATGTTATGCTCTCTGGTGAGCCTTTACAGAGATGTTACATTTTGTTTTGGCACCTGAGAAAATCTGATATTTCCTTTAATAAAACCAAAAGTGTTAAAAGTTAAAAATGTGATACTGGTGTGAATCCTGCTTAATATGAAGCAGTGTTGTTGTTTCTTTTTTGTATATATAGTATGAAACTATCCAGAAATGACCCGTATGAACCTACTCACAAGCAAAATGTATTTTTATGTTGCTTCTTTTCAGATTTGTGGAGATTTTGATGTAACATACAGAACCCGCCTTTTTGTTGATTTGTTGATACAGCAGTATGGAGGACCAACTCTGCCATATTTAAAAATAAATACAGAAATAAATAAATGCTCAATAAATAAATGAGCATAAAATTTGCCACCAAAAATACAAACAACAAATAAATGTAAGTAGAAATTAAATTATACAGCTAGTCACAAAGGTATATAACTCTTTATTTCTTTGCCTTTTTAATATATACCTTATTAATTTTTTTGTCATTTATTATCTTCAACTTCATTTTTTAATTACTTATATTTTTAAGTATTTATTTATGTGCATGTTATCACATTTTTGTCTGTTTTATTCTTCCTTTGTATTTTTTTACCCTAGTTATTTCTTCGCCGCTATTTCTTTCTGCCTGCCCTGTTTACATTTCTGCCTGCCATTATAATATAATTTCTAATTACATTTATTTGTTGATTGTATTTTTGGTGGCAATTAATTGTATGCTTATTTATTTATTGAGCATTTATTTATTTCTGTATTTATTTTTAAATATGGCAGAGTTGGTCCTCCATATCAGCTCTATCTACAGCATATTTACATGCATGAAATGTTCCTTTCATGTTGCCTTAACTGCTGTATGTCAAGTTACTGAGGAACAAATGGAGTAAATGTGTTTTCAGAGTAAACATTACATAGATGTCCAGTACCTTGTTCGGGTGCCTTGACCCATTTATTTCTACTGTGTAGTTCTGCTCACTTTAGTACAGCTCAGTCCATAGATCTCTGATGGGGAACTTTTTCTATCGTTTCTTCTTGTGCAAATGCTGCAAAGCTGCCTCTCTGACAGTCAATCTCACACATCTGCGACTCAGCACCTGTGTCTTACCTTAATACCTTTCCTGTCATAAGGCCCCTCTAGAAGTAGTGTTATCATTCTTCTATCTCCTATTAAGTGAGATCTCATTGTACGATGTATTAGCAATATGAACTATTTCACATGAAACACTTACTGTACATACTATTCTCACCAAACTGTGATAACTGTGATTAAATTCAGTGTAAACAAATGCCATATGTTGCCACCCCTAAAAAATTCCTGCCCCCCTCTTGCCACCCCATAAATATTTTTCTAGATCCGCCCCTGCTTATAATTATGTAATTAAGGTTTTCTTTAAACAATTCAAGAATATTTTCAGATTAAAGTGAAAAGAATATATCAAAATGTAGAAAGAGTTGAAAATTGTGATTAGACTTCTGAGATTAGGGAAGTTTTAGTGTGGAGGGAAATGCACATTTATTATGGCTGGTGACTTGTTTTATTGTTTTTTTGTTGTTTCAATATGACATAAATGCTACTTTACTTTAGTCCATTTAATGAGGAAATTCAATTGAGCACTTAAATTCTGTTGAAAGGTGTTTTTTACATTCTTTTTTATATATATTTATTGGTTTTGTATGAAGATTTTTTTTTACTATACTTTGGTCATCCACTTGAGGTTATTGCTTATTTCTGAATTTATTTTGAATGATTTGAATTAAACTTGTAAATATCAAGTTTTTTTTTTCATCAGGTGAAGAACAATTTGTGGTTTGGTTTTTGTTTTTTTTCTGCTTTTGATACAGGTGTATGTTTGAAATAAATGCTGTTTTCACTGCAAGCCATTGTGGGGGTTTTTTTCTTAACCTTCCTCTACAGTATGTAGTCTAGCAGCTTTATATTGTTAAATCTTGACAGACAGCGACGGTTAGAAAAACATAAGAGAAAATAAATTGGTTAATTTAAGTATATGCTTACAGGGCAGCCATTAAGGAGGCAAAATATACAAAAGTGATATTTATTGTGATAAAACTTTCTCTAGAATTTATTCTTGTTTACAAATGCAGCCAGGATGTGGTGGGTTTGCAGCTGGGGTGGAGGAGATGTCATTTTTTACACATCTTATTTTGGTCTACACTTTGCTCAACAAATCAACAGATGGAAAAATGATTGACTGTAACTCCTTTAATTCTGTAGTTGTAAATTGAGAAAATACAGAACAGCTCGTTTTTCATATGCAGGGGTTGCCATGTCTCTAAGAC